CTAGTAGAGCTTTTCTCAACACTTACACGTGAGTAACCCGCGATTTTTAGTTAATTTAGTATGTCTCACGATAGTTATTATAAAAAATATTCAAATAATTATAATTTCTCTATTACTGTTTTCTCATCGCATATTTTTGTTTAAGCAATAAATATTTAATAGGTACCTAGACACTTTTTACCGATTTATTATAATTTTGTATATATAAATTAAGTTGTTTATTCTGGGAATTAATAAAGAGTGAATAATGAACAGAAAATTTTATGAATGTTTCAAGTGAAATTCGAGCTTCGTTTTTGATACTGAAATTCCTTATAAGTACATATATTCACTACTAGCTTTTGCCCGCGACTCCGTTCGCGTGGAATAGTGTCTTCCTGGAAAATTCTTGGTAAAGAAACTATCCTATGTCCTTTCTCGAATTCCAAACTATGCCTCAGTACCAGAAATCGAATCAGTAGTTTAGGCGTGAAGAAAAGACAGATAGAGAGAGTTACTTGCAATAATAATAATATTAGTTTGGATTTAGCTAGCCACTGTACTTACAGTTCTTAGTCTTCTTTTAAAGGTCGTGTTCGAAATCTATCGATAAAACTACTTCTTTGAGGCAAATTTTTAAAATACACGTGGAAGGTAAGGCGGAGTATCAAACTCTAACTGACTAAACACTACCCCATTCCTTATCGAAGGTAACTTTTTTCTTTCTCCTGAAATATGGTATAAAATAAAGATTGAGTTTGTACACACAAAATTAAAATGTTTATTCAAAATTGTGTGTTTAGTTTTTTGTCGAGTTATGCAATTGGCCAGCTCAGCAACCAACCATTGGCTTCTTACTGTCATGTGTAATTAGAAATATATGTCACAATGAAACTTGTTAACTACTCTAGCAATCAACGACAATACTTAAACGAACTGCGAAGTAATCGCTGCAACCATCGTTGAGAACAATCACTTGCCACATTAATACGTGTGTTCATCAAAACTCCTGGCGCTGACAGCCCCCCCCCCCCACTCCCTCCTTCCCTCACCAGCCCGCCGACCAGAAAATAGCTTTTCCTTGTAACACTGGCGTATCAGAAATCTTTATTAGGTAATTATTTCTGGCCGCCCCCCCACAGCTAACTATGACAAACATATTTGTGTTTTGTTCGCTCAAGTAGTAGGAAGTACTGTTTATCATTTATGCTGGTTGTTGTTCGAGGTAGAATATTATTATTATGCTCGCTGTTGTTTATACTCACTCTCTAAACTTTACTTCTCCATCGCAAGTATGACATCTACAATAGGTTAGTTTCCATCTAGTCAAATTCTATACCAAGTTTTCCCGAAATTGTCAAAAACAATATTTTTCTACGTCGCACTATCATGTGATCAGTCTAAGCAATAACGTACCGTGGCTTAGAGCAGGAGCAAGAACAGGAGGATTTTAGTCAGTAAGAGTCTCAATACCCAATACCCAATACTCAGTACTCAATATCTTGTCTTGTATGACACTCCCTCTCGCTATATTCTGAGCGGGAGAAGTCATTAGATGATTTTCCCTCTGTCTCGGACAAAGTCACATTGGTACTTGCCAGGTTTCTAACCCTTACCGTCTGGCCACTACAACATCATAATATGTTTCTATGTATTTTGTATGAAATAGTAAGTTGTGTCACGTTGTAGCACGTCTGACTATTTCCTTAGTTTCATAAGTTGGAAAAATTTAGTTTTCAACCAAGAAAACTACCTAATTTACACTACACTCCAAGACTTTATCAATCAAAGTGACAGTCAAGGTCAAATTCTGAAAACAACTTTTTCTTGGAACGAGATGTTCACGTTACTGATACTTTTATTTATTTGAGGAAATCGTAATCAGATGGTTTTCAAAGTTCAAATTATGTATATAGCAAAAACGCATAAATGCTTTTCGAGTCTGTTAAAAGTAAAAAATGCAAACGGGACTTCGAGTTGGCCAATTAAACAAACAAAAATTAATTGTTTACTTTCTCAAACGGTTACGATCTCTATATTATATGAATGAAACAGGTAAGTAATTACGAATTTCCTTAGTCAAAGAACACAAAATAAAAATTGAACAAACACAGCACTTACCCTGCATAAATATAAAGTATTTGAATAAAAAATCAGTGTCCGGTTGATCGAATACTCGAATCATACGATACAGTGGCTCATCCTCAAATCATAACAATCAATAAGGGATAACATAACTGCAGGCATGACAAATGACCGGAGGGGGTGAGGATTGGACAGCACCCCCTGATGGGGGGGAGAGGGGATGTCGAAGGTAAGACGACGATAACTCAGGCCAACGGCCGAGTTTGTGCGAAAAACAAAGAAAGGTGGCACGATATATTTGTTACTTAACCGTAGGGTGACCACTGATAAAAGATTTAGAAGGATAATCTTGGTGTTTAATTTTGATTTTTGCCTCTTGATTTAATGTTGTTTAAGTCACTTTTGTGAGTATGTAGTATTTCTTAAATACCCTCCTGTTGTTGTTTTATGAACATTGATAGTTATATCCAACAAAGTCTTTATTTCGCTGTTTATACTTAATACCCAACAAAGAGCAAAAAAAAAATTTTTCAAAGATAAACGTCTCTTTCTCATTACCTATACTAGGTAATTCAAATAAAAAAGATTTTCAAAAATGTTTAAACGTATTAAGTATAAAAATAAACATTACATCAAAATCCAAAAAATAATAATTCGATGAAATATTTCCCTCGCCGTATCCTTTAAATATTGTAGCATGGTGTTCCTACTTATAGACAACTAGATTTTCCCTGAGGATTTTCCCTTTAGGGGTTGTGTTTCTGAAAATATCCCGGTGGGTGCCAGCCAGGGGTAGAAACATCCCTTTTATTGAGTTCCAACGTTTTTACAACTTTTATCACTAATTTTTTTTATAAAACTTGTTATGGCCGCCTTTGTGCTAATTTGGGGATGAACAAAAATACGTTACTTAATCATTTTATTTTAGTCCGAGGTATTTTTCCGTGGAAGACAATAGCTTCATAAGCAATTTTATTATTGTTTTATAATGGAGTGTTATTTTCCTTATTCTAAACATGAATTTACTGAAGTTATTTTTTTTTTTTGGCAAATATAAAATGAAATTCCTGGCTCTGGCCTGGTAATAAAAGTAATTTGTAGAAATACAGATACAAGTAAACGAACCAAAACAAGGCCCGGCAATAAAATAAAACAACCTATTTAAAAGTGATTAAGCATTGAATTAATTGATCGGCACGCGATTGCCGGCACAAGATCGATATCAGTGTAATCTCACGACTCGTATCAATTTGTCAATCCCCTTCAATAACTCGTAAATAAAATCAACAATATTGCCCAAAAAATGGGGCGACACAAAAACGCGTCTACCCGCAAAATGGTAACCGTTCTCCAATACAAATCCGACAAATAAAACAATATTTTATCTTAATTACTTCCATCCCAAATGACCATTCAAATACGTGGCACGGGATTCGAACCCATGACCGATCCGTAATTAATTTCGCCGTGAACATTGACAAACGGACCGACCGGGATAAATCTACTGCGTATATCATTACGATTTGGCCCTTTTCCCTTTATAAATACGCGTTGGCCGGTGTTGGGGGGTGCCTTAAATTCGGGGAGCTCTGTTGTTTACGCTTATTAGCGGGAGAGCTGCGAGATTAATTAAATGAAGTTATTGCTTAAGCTGTACTTATTTAGTGAGCTCTTTTTGGAGTTGCCAAGTGATGATCTGCTTTACGCTAGCGTGATCGACGCGTTTATGACGTTCGACGCTCTGATTGGCTTGCTCCTGCTTAATCAACCAATCAGACGGCTACACTCGGTAACGTGATCGCAAGTGAGATCGCGAAAACAATTTTCTATAGGTATTAAGTTCAAGGTCAAGTTTGTTTCTTGGATCTAGACCCTGATATTCTCCGCTAAAGGTATAATTGAAAAATCTTCTAACGAAGTAAAAATAAGTGCAGTGAAGGCTCTGATGATCTCCGACATACTTAGGTACATCAAGACCCCACGAGAGACTCATGGACATATGGTTCTAAGAAAGAACTTTTCACCATACCCATCCAGCACGAACGGGTCGTCTCGACCGGAGAAACATCCTCACAGAAAATCGACGTGAAACAACAATAGCGTTGTTTCGCCGTAAGAGTGAGGTAAATGCACTCTTCTCATTTCTAATCCTCAAATTCGATTGCTTACCGTCAGGCTTGTTTACCAACCCCTTGAAATTCAAAGAAAATATGATAGTGAGGACAAAATTATATACATAGTTATGTGATTTCGTCATCAACACACGACAATGTAGTCCTCCTGCGATGGGAAATAATTACCGTGGCATTATGTCCTTAGAGAAAAGTTTTTGGCCACGCCATGGTCTTCCGCAACTAGTTTCCTCAATTAACTTTTGTTATTGGTAAATGCAGTGGAAACGTGCGGTAGATAGGCAGTTACTATACTAATGTCCTATATTACGTGCATATTGATGGCTATATTATTCTATTGTAGTATTCTAGAAGATTAGTATTGGATTAGAATCGATTCGACGGTACGGTAAAGGAAAATATCGTGAGGAAACCACAAATTATATTTGAAATCACAAATCTAGCTTACAGCAGGCCCAGTGTTTAATTTTCATATTTACTCCGTGTGAGCAGAGCGTTTTGCTCAGCTGTGGGCAATCAATAAAAATAAGCATGTTATAATTATGGTGTTATTTATTAACTTCATAAGAAATTACGTAATTGAAATGAAAAGAACGAAGTACTAGGTACTCAATATTGTTTGACACCGTGAGAAATTATACTGTTTTGATTTTGATTATATCATGTTATTTGATTGCTCAAAGTAATTATAAAGTAGTAACAAAACAATAAAAGAAAATAATCAAAATTGTAACTTTCCTTCTGATAACAATACCCAAGGTTAACGAATGATTTATAAATAAAACAATAATAAACAACACTGATTTACATTAAAATAAGATTTATTTAGTTCAAATAACAATATTATCAAATAGGAACTTACAAGAACAATCTACTTCAGTTTGGAGGACACGAATGCCTTGTAAACTTCTAATCCTGGTACATTCTTCTTCTTGTACCAGTCTTCTTGTTGGATTGTGTTCAACCAGGCCGTTAGTTTGGTGTACTTCTGGTCAATAGGGACCAGAAGAGATGCTGATGAAATTGAAGCTGCAAGTGAAATGTCAGCTACCGTCAGATGATCTGCTGCCGCGAATTTAGTCTTCTGTAAGTATTTGTCCAATACTTCATAAGCAAAGTTCAGCTTTTCAGTTTGTTGTTTAGTCGGTGATGTGATTTCTCCATTAAAAAGTGCGACTGTTATAGCGCTTGAGGCTGGTGAAACAACTGAAACGTCAAAGAACAGCCTGGAGTCGACAGTCGCTCTCACTTTAAAGTCTGTTGGGTAAAGCTTCTCTGATTGCGCGCCGCCATACTTAGATGCCAAGTACGTGTTAATAGCGTGACTGTCAGTAACGTAGAAGTCACCATCTTCTAGAAACGGTATTGTGTGTAATGGATTCTTTTCCAAGTATTCTGGTGTAAGATGTTCGCCAGCCATCAGGTTCACATCTACAGCTTCGTGTTTGAGCTGCAAGATCTCAGCCAGCATCATCACTGCCCGAGCTAGATCTTAAGAGTCATGTTGACAGTGAATTGTGGTGCGATACTGAAGAATACCCCCATCGCGTGTGCTTTATATCTGCACGTAAATTGCACATGTCATCGTGACTGCATAAATGAAGATACGTGTTTTATCCAACAACTAATGTGAAACATTTTAATCAATGAGGTTTAAGTTCAGCCGCGTTATGTAAATATTTTTGCCTTGTCATTATAACTTTGCAGATATTTATGTACACATCAGATTTACGAATCTCAACCGGTTTTAGTATATATTTGTTTCCGCAAAATAAACATGTCAACCCTCTTACATAACCCCATCCAATTACCCAGTAACATTCAAATATCGAACCAATTAATTTCGCTTCAACGCTGGCGTTTTGACGGCGAAAAAACAAAGCTAAAGGGAGGCAAGCACGTAATCTGAGCATGAAATATAGCAAGATAAAATCGCGGGTAGTTATCTGAATAAAGTCGTTTCCATTCAAATGTGCGCTGAAAACTGTGAGAGCCCATTTCGGCTGGACCTTTGTTGAGGCCCAAATTATAGGCTAAAGCGTTCAGACGTGGAATGCAATTAACTTGCATATTAGGTGTTATCGCATTAGAAAAATATTAATTTATCCAGTATCTTTCAATCATTCAATGAAATAACTTCAATGTCATGGCATATCTTAACTGACTGGAGATAAAAAAAGGACAGTCATGGATGGGTTCATACCAAGCGTATCAAATTAGAGTGGTGTGTTGTACATATTAAGAAGATAACGACCTTCTGAATATTGTTATCAGAACCTAGTGCAAAACTCATACACATACGTAATTATAATTTTATCTTGATTTATCAATATTTTTATTTATTTTAAAACATACATAATTATGATTGTATGATTAATGACGCCAAAATATTGATTGAGATATAAGTCCTGATAGTATAGTCCAGTCCATTTTAGCAAACCAGAGTATTATCAAGTTTTTCAATGTTACGCAACATAGAAGTACATATATTAAGCAACAGTCGTCTCATAACTCATTCTGGATAACATACAATATTAAAATCTCCTTAACATAGCAAATACTTTACTATGTATTTTAATACTTTTTCCTTTATAAATTCAGTAATTAGATAGACTTTAATTAAAATAACTACTTCTTGCAGAATATCAGTCTATCCAAACTAATATTATAAATGCGAAAGTAACTTTGTCTGTCTGTCTTGTCTTCACGCCTAAACTACTGAACCGATTTGTGTGAAATTTGGTACAGACTCAGTTTGGAACTCGAGAAAGGACATAGGATAGTTTTTATACCAAAAATCTGCAGGAAGTCACTATTCCACGCGAACGGAGTCTCGGGCAAAAGCTAGTAATATCATACGGCAGAGAAGGAACGGGGTGATTTTCCTTCTCATCTCATAAAAAGGACTGCAAACGCTTGGTCTTATACTTTAGACCACTCGTGGTCACCCGATTACGGCCAGGTACACACTCAAAAGCTGGATTTCGATATAGCTGTTAAGGTCGTTTACCATGTATCACGCTTTTTAGCTACGGTATAACGGCAGAGACCGAAATAAAAGTGTTTGTATGACTATCAAGCTGTGGGTTGTAGGGTTATAAAATTGTATGGGCCAGCTCGATCGTGGGGGTCCAATTGGTCCGTTTGTTTAGATAAAAGGGTTGATTAAATTGTAATTGTGTGCCTTCAGTTGCAAATTACGCTAAAGGATGATTTTTGTACCTAAAATAAAACAATGATTATTGTTGAAAAAAACAAAGTTATACTTTTTTATATGAACGTAATAGAATAAAAATTCCGATAATTGGTTATTTGCCTAATTTAGTATCATATGTATGGATATCCAGAAAGTCTATAATGGTGACATTGTTGGAGAAATTTTAAACTTCACCACAATTTTAAGTACTGTGGAAATTATATCTTAAGTTTAATTTAAAATCAAAATTACATGAAAACTATTTCATGTAATTTTGATTTTAAATAAAAATTGAACATTTTATTTTATTGAATGAAAAGCTTTTCGTGAATAGGCGACAATTTGAATTTGCACGGTTGGCGTGGTAGTTTAGCAACTGACTGACTGACTGACTGAACTTGAGCAACGTGTCGCGGGTTCTGTTCCTGCAGGGAAAACACTTGTGAACCACCAATTGATGTTTCTGGTCTGGGTGGTTTGTGTGAGAAAGAGAAAAATTTAGTGTGAAACAACGTTTAAAAACGTACGTGTTTAAGTCAGTACCTATCCTATATATGACATTATGTATATTTGTCGTTGTGGTTGTTATTTATAGTATTAATTTCATACAATGATAACACGAGTGATAAATAAAGATTATGTTATCACAACATGAGATAGTTCAACGAAAGTCATCCTACTTAACGATGATTCGGCGATTTTAGCATCAATTAATGATTATAAGTAAGTTGGGATCGGTTCTACAGTTTTGTGTTCCAAAAGTTTCAATACAAATATAATAAATAAATAGTATAAGTACAAATTCAGCTATATTAGCATTGGTTGAATAGCTTCCAATGCTTAAAAAAGGCCTCGGGTGGGTATTAAGTTTTGTCATCATCATCATCATCATCATCATCATCATCATCATCATCATCATCATCATCATCAGCCGGAAGAGGTCCACTGCTAGACAAAGGCCCCTCCCTTATGGGGTAGCCATAATCCCCACGCTTGGCAGGCGGCTTGGGGATAGCAGTTAGGTCACAAATATATGGATGGAATGCTCCTGCCCACTCCTCGGCGTCTGGTCGTAGTTTAAGGACGTAGCCGGGTCCGTGTCCGTCCGTAAGTGTTTGCTACATAATTTAAAATAACCTATTTCAATTTCATCATGAAAAATTTCAGTCTGAAAAAGAAATAATACACTAAACGGTTTCTCTATTATCATGGTACGTAAACAGGGTGTTACATTCTCGTAGTATACAGGGTGTAACATACTAATAACAGAATAACGACGTATTGTAAGCCAGAGCGCTATGTCTAATGGATCCCGCTTTGTACTTTGAAATCATAAAAATTGTTGGCAAGCGCGAAATGTAAGCTGTTCCACTGAATCCGCGTTGGGTGTATCTTGAAAGAGATTGTCTAATAAAAATGTGAGATGTTATTTGTATTGACTCTTATTGAAAGCATTTTTGACTAATAATGTAGAGTTTGTAATTGTTGTTTTTTTCGGTAACATAGTATTTGTTGGGTTATTGATAAGATAAACCTCACTGGCTGTTATTTTGGTTCCATGCAACTGCCTATGGTATAACAGAACTGCCTATTTATAGCCTGATAAGCGTTTTAAGGGTCAATTACAGACACAGCCACAAGATACTGAACCCAAAATATGTAGACGTAGGTTTTGATCCTATGTCATGGATGTGTTGACAAAAATAATTACATGCACATCACACCCAGATCCGGATTAACAATTTGTTTTGTCACAGACACGTTCAGGACTTGAACCAGAGCGTCTCTTTCCACGGCAGTCGGTTGTCCAGCCACTGCTCACCGCCTCAATCGTACAGTTACTTTTCACATAATATCTAGTGGGTATAATATCAATTTCACAGTTTAATATCGCTTAGATATATTATTATTTTATGAAAGAGAACCCTAAAACATACAGGATGTATATTTTATAGCATCAAAACAAAATTATGTTCGCGAGTAAGCTAGCTAAAATCAAGTTATTGGTATCTCGCCGAGTTCCGAATAATACGGGGGATATATGCACACACAACGTTCACGTTTTACGAGATAATATAAAGAAATATTTAACGAGCCTTGTACCATCAACCTATGTTCGCTAAAAAGGTTTTTATCTTTATTCTGTACGTTAGTTATTTTTTCTGCGGAAATTCGTACAGGCTGTTTGATTTTCCGGGACGTTGAAGTTTTTATTAGGTAGCTAATTAATTTTAGAAGGAAGGCCAAATTAGTTCGCTCTTATTGCTGTAGCTTAGTGAAGTAGGTCGTTTGATAGCCTGTTTTAATTTACAATTTACAATACAGCTCGGAGGTTTTATAAAGAAAAAATATATTAGTTCATGTTGTTCAGTGGAGGTTGTATCGGAAGCTTTGAACTCATCGATTTAATTAATGTTTTGATATTATTGAATCATGTATACTGCCTCCTTTATTAAGACCTTAAGAATGCTATACTTTTCAATGAAACAATGAATTTATTTTTGCAAATAGACCATAAAACGACACTTTTACACGTCAATTTATATGCGAAAAATTAGACGAAGCCGGCATTTCCTATCTAACTACTCTGAGCAGAAATACCGAAACAAACTCAGAGGTCAGTCTCTTTTCAAGTCCAGACAATGTAAAAATAACATAATGCGAGATTCATTATTGTGTGTTAAAAATAATGTTATTGAGTAATAACAGCAATTAAAGAAATGTTATCGAACTATTAATCCTACGTATAAATGCAAAAAGGGCTCTCAAACACCCTTTTTTGAGTCAAAAAGCCACTGCATTACAATTTACAGATAACCAAAACGCCTAAAACAAAACGAAAACACCATCAAGAGATAGAACACAAGGCGTCACAGATAACTGTGTAACCTTCAACGCCCTTCATGAAAAACAAGTACATAATTGTTGATAAAAAGTCAGGGCTATATTGTGACGGGAATAGGGATGTTGCGAATGGATCTGCACCGAATAACCCTTCAGATAAAGCGATACAATCGTTATTAGGTTAACATTAACTGCCTACACATGGGGACAAAAAGAAATATATTTCTTTTTATAAAATTGGTCGTGGTGGCCCGGAGGTTAAGGTGCCCGCTTCTCATGCATGAGAGTGTAGGTTCGAAACCTGGCAAGTACCAATGTGACTTTTTCCGAGTTATATGTACTTTCTAAGATTATTTAGACACCACTGACATACGGTGAAGGTAAACATCGTGAGGAAACCTGGACTTTATAATTTCTAATTGTAAGTTTGAAATTGCCAACCCGCA